AGAGATACTGTATTAATGGACAATATAAAAAGGGTTTCATCAATATTATTCCAACTTATATAAAGGAAGTGACACCCCTCTAGAGAAAATAGATCTATATCTAAAGAAACAAACTTTACTGAAGATTAAAGAGGAAGATATTATGAATGACTCTAGAACAATAAGGTAAATTTCTGAAGCTGTAAAAAAGAATAAACTAGCAAAGGTGCCTGGACCAGATGGATTATCTGGTTCTTATTATAAATGCCTTGAGGATGAACTTTTACAACCTTTACAAAGCACAGTGAACTCTATCCTACAGGGAGGAATGATACCAGAGAATTGGAAAGAGGCCAGTATAATACTAATACCTAAAGGGGGACAAGATTTGACTGTAACAAGAAACTACAGGTTGATATCATTATTGGAAAATGACAATAAGCTGTTCTACCTGACAGGCTGAAAATAATTTATCTAAAAGACCAATGGGGATTTTTACTTAGAATACAGTTAAAGGAAAGGTTAGAAATATATTAAATATTTTGGAATATTTGGAAGAAGACAATTAAAAATAAGCTGCAATAAGCTTCTTCCAATTCTGAAAAGGCCTTTAACAATTTGAATTAAGTTTTCTTGGTTTTGGAAAATATGTATTTTGGAGAGAATTATATAAAATGAGTGTCTGATTTACACTTTACAAAAAGCACATATAATTGATAACAGAGATATAAGAAAACCTGTAAGACATAAAAAGGACCAAGACAGCAATATCTGTCACCTCTCTTATTTACTTTAGTTCTTGAAGTACTGAATATAGATATAAAACCAGATGACAGGATTATGGGAGTAAAGATTAAAGTTACCATGTGTGAGTTGGGTTGCTATATAAATTTATTTAATAAACAAAGTTTAGAAAAGGACTTTTTCATATTACTTGGTGTTGGTTTCGAAAGATCCTTTAAAGCAGGGGTCACCAACCTTTTGGACATCAGGGACCACCAAACTCATTATTTTAAATCCCATGGACCAGTATAAGAATGTTGAGTGACGGTGGCTTGCTGATGTTGGTGGGAAAGGGAGAGAGAGGTCTGATCTAACCTCAGAGGGCTGGTGGTGATATTCTCTCTCTCTCTCTCTCTCTCTCTCTCTCTCTCTCTCTCTCTCTCACACACACACACACACACACACACACACACACACAGGTCCCTCATTCTCACACACCCCTCCAAGGCAGCCACATTCCTAACCTGCTTTTCAGCTCCATTCTCGGGGTGGGAGAGAGAGAGAGAGATCCTGGGATCCCAAATAAAGAATGATCGATCGGTAGGAAAACAGGGTGGGAATTTTCCTTCAGACTTCTTTTGGGATTTTCCCAGGGTCTCTGCTGCTTCTGCTTTTTCTGCAGAGACTCTGGGAAAATCCCAAAAAATGTCTGCACGAAAATTCCCTACTCCGTTTTCCTACCGATCGATCGTTCTTTATTTGGGATTATTATTTCTTTCACTCCAACTTTTGGCTTCATGAAAGGAAAGCAGCAGAAGTCTTTCTTTCTCTCCCCCAAACTCCACCAGAATGTCTCAGCCTCTTGGAGTAAGATGCCTTGCAGGATCCCAAAGACTCATTTCTGGGGGAGTTTGGGGGAGAGAAAGACAGATTTTTGCTGTTTTCCTTGTGTGCAGCCAAAAGCAGAAGAAAGAAGTGGAAAGAAGCAGTCCAGTGGCCAGGCCAGGTGAGTGGGGCAAGTGTCCCCCCTTCACCCTTTCCCGCCTCCCCTCATTACCTCGTGTTGTTCACAATGCAAGCGATGCAAGCCTTGTGTTCCTGCACAGCCTGAATTAATTGCTTTGTGGGTGATATTTCTCTGTGGACCACCAAAATTTTCTTGCAGACCACCAATGTTCCCCCTACCCACTGGTTGCCGACCGTTGCTTTAAAGGCTTTGAAATATCACTTAGCAAATTAAAACAATTAAGTACGTCAGCAGGGTTAAAGGGTAATAAATAGAAGAGGAAGATGTCAACAAAAATATCAAAATAGAAGCTCAAACATGAACTGTATGTTATTTTGAAATAATATATTAAGACATGGAATGAAGTTTAAAAAGACATGTTAAGATGATATGAACTATGGCTGTCATTACCAGGGAGAATTTCTATGATAAAAATGAACATCTTGCTTAGAAAGATGTTTTTATTACAAACAATACCTGTTTTGAAAACTGATGTACCACTAAAACAATGACAGAAGGATATATCTAAATTTGTGTGGCAGTGAAAAGAACCAAGGTTTAAACATAAGGTGTTTCAAGATAAAAAAGAAAGAGGGCGATTGGTTTTACCTAATTTGAAACTTAATTTTACAGCTTGCTATTTGGTTTGTATAAAAGAATGATGATGGTGGGAAATAGAAGGTGCTTTGAATTAAGACACAACCTGAGGTTTGGGTGGCATAGGTATTTGTGGTAGAAGAAAATTACATTTAATGTGGATTTTATAAATCATGATGTTAAATGTGCCACATTGAGAAAATTTTATGTTTTATTTATTTTTATTTGTCAGTTGCTTACAAGATAATAGGTATAAGTAAAAACATAGTTATGAATACATGGATACATATAAGAAAAATAAAAAATAAAAATAAAAGAAACAATAGGACAGGGACGGTAGGCACGTTGGTGCGCTTATGCACGCCCCCTACAGACCTCTTAGGAAAGGGGTGAGGTCAATAATAGACAGTCTAAGGTTAAAGTTTTTGGTGTTTGGGGAAGAAACCACAGAGTCAGGTAGAGTATTCCAGACATTGACCACTCTGTTGCTGAAGTCGTATTTCCTACAATCGTTTGGTGCGATTAACCTTGAGTTTGTATCTATTGTTTGCTCTTGTGTAGTTATGGTTGAAGCTGAAGTATTCATTGACAGGTAGGACATTGCAATGTATGATTTTATATACTATACTTAGATCGGACCGAAGGCAGCATAGTTCTAGGTTTTCTAGGTCTAGAATTTCAAGTCTGGTGGCATAAAGTATTCTGCAATGAGTAGAGGAGTGGAGAACTCTTCTTGTGAAATATTTCTGGACTTTCTCAACGATATTAATATCAAATACGTAATGTGGGTTCCAGACTGATGAGCTGTATTCAAGTATTGGTCTAGCAAATGTTTTGTATGCTTTAGTTAGTAGTGTAATATTACCAGAGAAAAAGCTATGTAAGATTAGGTTAACAACTCTTAATGCCTTTTTGACTATGTTGTTACAGTGAGCTCTAGCATTTAGATCATTAGAGATGAGTACTCCAAGATCCTTGACAGAGTTTGGATCATCAACAAGGTCTTGACTATTCAGTCTGTATTTTATTTTCTGATTACTGTATATACTCGAGTATAAGCCTAGTTTTTCAGCCCATTTTTTTGTGCTGAAAAAATCCCCCCCGGCTTATACTCGAGTCAGATTCCCCTCTGAAAAAAAAATGGTGTGGAGTCGCGGCCTCCGGCGGCAGCGACTCCCAACAGCCCCAGCCGGGAAGGGAAAGGCAAAAAGCGCTTTGCCTTTCCCTTCCCGAGGCGGCGGGACTGGGGCCGCGCCGGCGGTAGTGACTCCTGACTCAGGGGGCCTCCGAGGGAGGGGAAGAGAGTGACTCCTGCCTCCCGCTGTCATCATCATCTTCTTCTTTTGGGTTAGTGAATCAATTAAACCTTTCATGATAGTGAGATTGTTTCCCAAATTAATTATTTTTATTTTTGAAATTTACCAGTAGCTGCTGCATTTCCCACCCTCGGCTTATACTCGAGTCAATAAGTTTTCCCAGTTTTTTGTGTAAAATTAGGTGCCTCGGCTTATATTCGGGTCAACTTATACTCGAGTATATACGGTATTATTTTTTTGCCAATATGTAGGACAGAGCATTTATTTGTTGAGATTTGAAGTTGCCATTTGACCATTCTGATACATAGTCAAGGTCTTTTTGAAGGGTAGCAGTATTGTTTGTGGTGTTGGATAGCTTTACATCATCAGCGAAGAGAATGCAGTTGCTCTTGATATGATCACAGAGGTCATTTATGTAGAATGAAAAGAGTTGGTCCTAGAACACTACCTTGGGGACACCACTCTTGACAGGCACAGAATTTGATAGGACACTTCCAATTTTGACCATTTGTTGTCTGTTTGACAGGAATGCTTCTATCCAGTTATGCAGATGTCCAGAGATATCGTAAGGTTTTAGTTTTAGGAGTAGTTTGTCGTGTACCACTGAATCAAAGGCTTTACAGAAGTCTATGTAGATTGAGTCTATTGCTTTGCCCTGATCGAGTTGTGTAGTCCATATGTTTTTGCAGTGTAAGAGCTGCAGATTACATGATAGTTTTTTTCCTGAAACCAAATTGTTTATTAGAGAGTAGGTTGTTTGTTTCTAAGTGGAGGATGATGGATTGGTTAATAATTGATTCCATGACTTTACAGTTGACGCAGCATAAAGAGATTAGTCTGTAATTTTCAACTAGGTTGGGGTCTCCCTTTTTGAAGATGGGGATGACCGTGGCTTGTGACCATAGTTTCGGCAAGGAGCTGGTCCTGAAAGATTTTTCAAAGATTATGGAATAGATACATTATTGATTATTTCAAAGATTATGGAATAGATACAAATCCAAGTTGTGCTCCAAAGATTTTTATGGTTCTCAGTTCAAGAAACAGTGTATAGATGAGATATTATAGCCAAACACAAATTGCTAACTCATTGTGAGATATTACAATATAGTCAGGATTTTAAAGAAAGATATATAATTGAGAGCAGAAGTCTTCCTACTTGGATTGATGGACAAACAGTTGAAAAAAAAAAGTCGTGGAACTTGGTTCTTGTAAGATTACTACTGTACAAGCACAAAGATGGAAAGATTGGGGATTATTCGCAATGAATAAATTATTGGTGAAAATAGTGGAACTTGCTGATGTGACTAAACTGACTTCTTTGTTCAGAGAAAAAAATAATATAAATGCTTATTGCTGACTAGAAACCTCTTATGGACATTTCTACTAAAGAAAACAAATATATGTACAATTATAACTTTTATCCCTTACTCTATAGTTACAATGTACTTTAATTCCCTTTCCTGTCTAATCATCAAAACCATGAAATCATAAATCATGCGTTCAATTTTTTTACTACTATTAGGAAGTAGTAGTAGGAAGGTATTTTTTTTTTTAAACTTTTTGGCACTTTTGGCACTTTTACTTTTTTGGATTTTTTTCTTTTTCTTACTTTATATTAGTTCTTATCTTCTTTCTTAAAATCTTTAATAAAATTATATTAAATATAACTTTAATTTAAAATTTAATATTACAATTTAATATATTAAATTTATTTATATATATGTATATCACTGGCTTATATAATTTGGAAATTCATAAACATAAATAAGGGGATATATTACATAAAGGTATCATAGAATCAAAAAGTTGGAAGAGTTAGTTAGGTTATTGGATCAAACCTAATTCTCAGGACAAGTCCAAATGTAATTTAACATGTAATTCATAATTTGCTTTTAAAATTCATCTTAAAACATTTCTGAGATACTGTTTTTAGTGAAACAAATCCCATCACTTCCATATAATTATGTATTCACACATTTGGAAAAAAAAATTATTATACAACTGAAATCTCTTAAAGCCAAACACTATATGACTTTCTTCAAAGTGTTATATGTTCAAGTATATGAAAAATGCTGTCATTTATTACTCTCAAGGCTTTATTCCCAATTCTTTTTACCTCTTTCTTAGTTTTTAACAGTGGTGTTGCATCACATTTTCAACTGTAGCAACCTGATTCTATATCCACCACTTATCCTCCAAATAACCTTCTTGCCATTCCTTGCACCTGGAATGGACTCCTCCTCCTCTCCTCACAAACACTCCTTGTTCTTGATACTGCACTGATTTCCAATGTTCTGATGAGTCTCTTAACTGTTCCAGTTTGTCTTAAAATTGTAGTATCAGAACATCCCAGAGTTGCTTTGTCAAATAACAACTGAACTTCCTTTGTTTTTGCTTGAAGACATTTCACTTCTCATCCAAGAAGCTTCTTCAGTTCTGAATGAACTGAATTGAAGAAACTTCATTCAGAATTGAAGAAGCTTCTTGGCTGAGAAGTGAAACATCTTCAAGCAAAAACAAAGAAAGTCCATTTTCCTTTTGAAAAAGCACCTTTGGGTCAACCATGACCTGGATGATTGGGAATCTCCATACACATTTAGTACCAGAATAGGACTCAGTACTCAAGATGGGTTCTGACAAAAACAAAACTATAGCTTCTAATTGTTTGAAAAGTATTTTTTACTACAACCTAAAATTGTATTTGCCTTTTTCCCCCCAACAATATCACATTGCTGACTAATGTTCATCTGGCAATCAGTTACTGTTCCAAGCTTTTATGCACAATTATTACTGCCAAGCCAAATTTCCTTTCTAAATAAACATATTTGATTTGTTTCTTAAGTGAAGAAATCTGCATGTCATGCTGCTATTAACAGCCCTTTTTTCTAAGCTATCAAGATTTCTGTCTTCTAAGATATCCTACTCAATTCTGTTTTATTCAGTTTCTTTTTAACTAGTTCCATTAAATGTCACCTCATTTGTGCTGAATATCAGTCTTTCCGCCCCAAAAATGATACTCTCCAGATATGTAGAATTTTAACTTCCATAGTTTTCATACCAGTTGGAGGGTTATGGGTGAAGAACTCCAACATATGTAAAGGCTTCCAGATAGGAAAAACTGTTAAGCATCTTTGCAATATGCATGTCAACATGTGTTTATGTTGATTAAATATAATATTGAGCAGCAAATTTATTTTATTTGTCTTGCTACTTCTCTTTCAGCTTTCAGAGATTTTTAGCTACTCATTATCTAAATTTGCCCTATTTATCCCAGATTTTTCAAATAACAGCCAGATTATTATGAAAAGAGCTTGCTGATAGTAAGGTTTTTGAATTGCTTCAGTGATTGCCATAGGTAGGACTATTCTGGAAAATAGCAACAGCTGCACAAACTGGCTTTTAAAAAACTCTTTTAAAATAAAATCTGTACTACTGAATCTTTTTGCTTATGAAATGTCAGAAACTATGTTTACTATAAAGCTTCTGCTTTAATGCCTCTGAATTTACAGTGTTAGAAAATATTCATAATAGCCACCAATAGTTCAGCCATGCCAGCATTTAGCAGAATGAAAGAGAGAGCATATAGCAGTCATCAGCTTTCGTTAAAGCTAAATCTAGCAACTCAATGTAAAAAATAAATATTATGGGAGGGAAAATATATTTATCTTTAATATTATGTTGTTCTTACTGTAATCTGTGTGCTCATTTTTTTCTTTTTTGTTTTCTTCAAGTGTGAAGTATTTAGGAAAGCTGTCATGACAAAAAGAAAAAAAAGGTAACAAATTAAGGTGATCTTATCTAGCATATTCCTAGCATATTTCAAAAATGAACTGCTTCAGGCTGGAGGTTGCAGGAAAGAAATGGGACAACTTGCCTCAGCCAATTTTCCATGGCCAATTTGCCATGGTCAACTCGCTGTGGGACAATTCAAGTTAATTATTTAAAATTATTCTAAAAATTATTTCATTTTTTTGTATTTTACTTTATTTTATTACATTTTATTTTGTATTTCCTTTGGTATCCTTTCTTTAGTGATTCTATTTGACTATTTTCTTTCATATTAACTCTTGTCACACTGTGAGTTGTTCCTGTTCTGACCAAAGGTTCCTGAGACAGTAACAATCACACACTGTTCCAAAAAACTTTATTTTTATTTCAATGGCTGTGAATTATATGCATTCACAGCCCATAATGAGTCCCAAACAGTTTATGAATAGTCCAACAGAAGTCTGCCACAGTCTTTCAGGATAAGGCTGATAAGCACCCACCTTTATCTCCCTTGAAATGCTGCCAATGACTAAATTGCCAATTAGCTGTACAAAGCCAAATGGAGCACAAAGTCAACACGGAGCTTCATATTTTAAACCGACCAGAACGAACAAAGTTGCTTCCTGCAAAGGCTCATGTCCCTTTGCTCCTCCTTTATGTCTTATGGGAGGGCCCAATCATCTCCAAGCCTTATTCCCAAGTTGCCCTTTTTGTCTTAACTGTTCTTGCCTTCTGGCAGCTCTGTGCAAGTGTACACTGAGAACAGGCTCCCCTGTTCCTCTGCCTTGCTGATGTCAGATTTTGGAGGCTCAGGAGTCAGCACATAACTCTCAGATGGCCCTGGCTCCATCTCTTTGTCGGACGCAGATCCCTTGTCTGAGTCCTCCCCAGACTCCAGGACTGGCCCATGTTCCTCCCCAGTATCTGACTCTGCTGCCAGCTCCACAGGACGCCGGTGGACCACAACAGTTCCATTGTGAGTTGGCCATGGTGAATTGTCCTGTGGTGAGTTGGCTGCAGCAAGTTGGTTGCAATGAGATGGCCATGGCAATTTGTCATAGATCTCAAAAAGAATCTGGAAACATTGCCCCAATGTCTTCCTATGGGAGAGACATTGAACTTAAATTGTTGCTGGTAGTTTCATTCTCAGCCCTATTCTTTATCATATGACCCAGGGCACAGCTGTGAGCCATGGTGGTGCAGTGATTAAAGTGCAGTACTGCAGGCTACTTCTGCTGCCTGACTGCTGCCTGCAATTTGGCAGTTCAAATCTCAGCAGGGTCAAGGTTGACTCAGCCTTCCATCCTTCTGAGTTCGGTAAAATGAGGACCCAGATTGTTGGGGGCAATATGATGACTCTGTAAGCCACTTAGAGAGGGCTGTAAAGCACTGTTAAACGGTATATAAATCTAACTGCTATTGTTGCTATTCTGTGCTTCTTAGCTACAACACAAGAGGATACACAGATACACATGTGCATGGTATAACTTTGTTCTTTTTCCTACTGCAATGGCCACTGCTGGTAAATAGACTATCCCAACATTAAGAAACTATTCTGTATGCTGTCCATTCCTTGTTTTAGCTTTCAAAAATACTAAGGGCCCATTGGTCAATATTGGGCAAACTCCTTAATATTTTAATACTAAGGGCCTACTGATCAATATTATGCCCATATTGTACCCATATGGGCAATATTGTGCCCATCAACTAGTTTTGCCTCATAATGCAATATCTTAAGTGTACCCTTGAAATTATGTTTGTCACCATGGAGTACTACTTAAAAACTGTACTATTGTGTTAATCAACTGGTTTCAACAGTTTAAACCAGTTGATTAACATGAAGAATTTAAATAAGAATTTGGAGCTGTACTACTAGACAGAACTGCTTGAATTCTTATTATCAATAGAAAACTGGACCAACAGATCTATAAAATAAAAAAGTGTTTGCTTAAATGTGAAACAACCATATTTATCAAAATGCCATTGGAACTTTTTCACACTCCAGAAAGTTTTTCTTTGTCAAGTAGCAGTTAGTCCATCAGCTGGGACAAAGGTTCAGCAACCTAATCTAAAATATTTTTTTCAGTAATGTCAAAATACAGTCCATAACAAGTGGCTTTTCTAAAACAGGGGAAAAAATAAGATATAAAGCAAGCCAAACCAATTCTCATCAGAGAAGCCGTTGAGCGTGAACGGAAACGCCCAAACGCCATCTTATTTGGTCTAGAAGACATCAATGTCAATGATGACATCACAACTGTCCGAAACATCATCAGAAATCATCAAGCATCAACCATCTCCGCTGATGAAATACTTGACATTTCCCGCATTGACCGAGAGCTCAAAAATAGAGATGGCTCTGTGGCCCCACGCTTGTGCAGGGTCATTTGCAAAAATGAATCAAGCAAACGTAAATTCATTTATACTATAAACTCACTCGCCAAAACCAACACCATCCATAAGAACCTCCGTTGCCGCCCTGACCTAACCATACAGCAACGTGCCCGCTCCCGTGCACTCCGCATCGAACTCAAAAACCGTCTAGATAATGGAGAGAAGGACCTGTACATTGACTACCATGCTGACTGTATCAAAAGTAAACCACTCAACCCAATACTCAGCTTTTACCCTCAACCACAACCACAACCCTACCTCAACCCATCCACCATCACCCAAGACTAGGCACGCACGCCCCCAACTACCTCAATTCCAACTACTGCCGGCCTTAAATGCAAACTACTCAATGCAAGAAGCCTCGTGAATAAAATACCTGAATTTCTCTTCCTCCTAAATATGGCTAACTTCGACATTATATTTGTCTGTGAAACATGGCTCAATGCATCTCTCCCCGACTCCATTACCACAGTAAGAGACTATCATGTTTACAGATCAGATCGTGAAAATCGTCGAGGAGGTGGAGTTGCTATATTCTATAAAAAATCCTTACATCTAAAAAATATCCAAGTTACCCAGGAGTTTGCCCTTCCTGAAACCATCATCTGTGAACTATCCTCAAATATCACAATTCGATTCTTACTATGTTATAGAGCACCTGATTATGACATCGAACATGTAAACAAGCTAAATACATTACTAACATGGGCTGCATCCTGCCCATGCCCATATCCTTCTTGGTGATTTCAATCTACCTCATATTAACTGGACCCTAAATGATTGTACAACTGAAATCATACACACAACCTTCTACAATGCTATTACAAATCTGGGACTGGAACAACTAGTAACCAACAACACTAGACTAAACAACTGCCTCGATCTCATCTTCTGCAACAGTTTGAACCTAATCTACGGAATACAATCTAAAGAACCCTTTTCCAGTAGTGACCACAATATGATCGACTTTTGTCTCAACATACATCCACACAAAAATCACCACAATGATGTAATCCCCTATTGTAACTTCAAAAAAGGCAACTATGATCTTATAGACAACGATCTCTCATCCCTTGATTGGCAATCTCTATTCACTGGATGCAATACTGTTGAAGACCATTATAACATATTTTTACTTGAAGTCAAAAGAGTCATCAAACTATATGTACCAACAACAACTCCCAAAACAAAACAAAAAAGCAGATTACCCATAACAATAAGGAAACTTCAATCCAAAAAGAGATCACTCTGGCGGAAAAACAAATCTGGTCACGTTGCCAATTTCAAAAACCGATACAAAAATCTATGCCACCAGATAAAGACCGAATGCACCAATTATCACATTAAA